TAGCACTATGTGAGTTAAAATGAAGTTATGTTGCATTTTATGTTGCCGTTTTTGTGTAGCATAAGCATGTATTTTGTTTTGCATGATTTGCGATGTGCATTAAGTTAAGTGTGATTGAGAAGGAAATTCCTCGATCTCAAATATGAAACTTCAGGTAAGTTTGAATGGTATGCATCATCTAACTAAGTGTGAATCAGATATTCACAAAAGAGAAAAGTTTAAGCATGATTAAATTAAGATTCAAAAATCCCCTCGTTATTTTAAAAGATGTGTAGTGTCATTCGGGGAGGAATGTTCCTAAGGGGGGATAATGTAACATTTCGAAAAAATTACAAATCTAATTAAGAGCCCAATAAGTCTGTAAGAATGCATATTGGGGATACATATGCATTCCAATGCCCAATATTGAGGAATACTGGGCATAGTATAGAAAATTGGGTCAGGAATATCAGCCAATTTCTATAAAATACCGAAATAAGAAAAATATTAGGCATATTAGAAAATATTGGCTTAAAGGATGTTAGCCAATTTTTCTAAGTATTAATGAGCTTGTTAGAGAAATGTACTTGCAATGAAGACCCTAAGCTATATTAATATTTAAGTCCTTAACTCACAAATTAGGTAATACGCATCCAAGTGTCAAGCCTAGTACCATAGCACATGATCATTTTAATCATCATTTAAAATGATCATGTAGATTAAACAGTGCCCAAGGACATAGTGAAGATCCTTGGGACAATAAGTAAACATTCCAAGATGAACCATAAATAACAGTTAGTTAGGAAAGTGCAAACAACTCATGTGCAAGCACATGTGCAAGACATGTGAAGAAGCTGCCAAAGAAGGGGACCACCCTAACCGAATTCAGTTAGGGTAGTTATGGGGGAAAACGTGCACAAGGGACCACTTCATGTGAGGACTAACCTCCCTACCAATTATAGACTCTAACCAACTGCCAATAACTAAATAACCTACGACTAACCGAATTGGAACCATTAGTGCACCCGACAACTTAGGATCAAAACCGGGTTGACACTAACCTAGTACTAGTTAAAGAGATAACCTAGTACCTAACCTAGGATGGTCCAAAAGGTTAGTTATAGTCCTAAAAACTTAGGGGTACTTTCGTAATTCCCCTAGGTTACCTAATTAATTATTTTTATCAAATTAATTAAGTAATTTAAAAGGTCAAAAAACGAAAATAAAAAGGAAAGTTTCAGATTTCGGTTAAGACAAGAAAGGGACAACCTAGTACCTAACCTAGGATGGTCCAAAGAGTTAGTTAAGCTCATCAAGGCTTAAGGGTACTTTAGTAATTACCCTAGACTAACTAATTAATTAATTTATCAACTTAATTAATTAATTTAAAGGGGAAAAACCGAAATCACAAAACAATTTCTAGATTTCGATTAAAATAAGAAAAAGACAACCTAGTACCTAACCTAGGATGATTCAAAGGATTAGTTATGGTTATATGTACTTAAGGGTAATTTAGTAATCACCCTAGGTCACTTAATTAATTAAATTAGCAATTTAATTAATTAAATTAAATGGGTCAAACTGAAATTCTTACACTAACCTAGTACAACTCAAGAAACATCCTAGTACTTAACCTAGGATGGCCCAAAATGGTTAATTTTGGTTTTAATGAGTTGAGGTTTCTTTAATACTTACCCTAGGTACCTAAATTTATTAAATTAAGGATTTTATTTATTAATATAAAGTCAAAATGTTGACCAGAACCATAGTCAACACCAATTTCCAGATTTGACTAAGTGTTAAGTTCTCCTATGTTTAGTTAACTTATGAGGGGGTTTTTAGTAATTAGTTAAGTAATTTATTTAATTAACTTATTAAACCCTAAGTTGAATAAATCAACGTTAGTTCCTAAACCTGAACACCACGTTCAAACTCAAATAAATACACGACTGAAACCAGAAAGTAAGCGTGAGAAAACCATTGAACAAAACGTAAGAAAAAACAGAAAAATTTCTTAGATGATTTTCAAGGTTTCATCGATGTTTCTTCAAGGTTCGTTCAAGGTGGTCTGCGTAGATTAAGTTCTACTTTAAGTATGGGTTCCTCTCCTGTACTTTTTTCTCCAAGAGAACATTCTTTCGAATGATTCAAAGATCTTGAAAACTAGGGTTGTTTCCCGTCATTCTTGTCGAACTCCTTACCCTAGTATCCTTGCTACGTTTTCAAAGTCTAATAGGTTAGAAATCATGTTTTTGGTATGTGGTGTTGGCTGATCTTAATGTGTATTTGATTAAATAATGATTGAATGAATCTATTAATTGGATTCGTTTGATGCTAATTGTTATTATGTGAATTAAAAGAAATGATACTATGTTAAAGATATGTCCAAAAATGTATTGTATGAAGATGTTACGGTCTGTTGTGCGCACTTGCTATTAATATGACATTATAAAGATGATATATCATCAAATTCTAATACGATGATGTCCGAGATGTTTTAAAAAATGTTATGCCTAAAGTTATGTTATAAGGTAAGCTAAAAAGGATCTTCGTGAAATCATAATTTGAGAGAATGTTTGTCTTATGTCAATAAAATGGCTAACAAAAACATTATTCAAAATTTAAATGAAAATTGGCTATAATGTTATCTCTAGATAAGTAAAAGATTGGCTAATGTATAATGTATAAAAACTTAAGCATGTTGCACATGAAAATTGGCTTATGCCAACAAATATGGTTATGAAATCTATGCCCATGTGTTTATGCCAATACTAATTGTATGCCAATAAAATGGCTGACAATACATTATCTAAAAGTGATGTATGTAAATGACTATAATATTATGTTAAATAATTAAAAAAATTGGCTAATGATTCATACATATAAAATTTAAATATGAACATACGGAGAACTGACACATGCAAATAAAAATGGTTATGTAGTTTAATATTCAAAGGTTGAGGTCAATACTAATCATATGATAGTCTTGTGTAGTTAGAGTATCAAATGATTATATAAGCACTTCTGAACTAATTCAAGGAACCCATAATCAAGGGCACGCCACTCATTGGGACAACTCCCAACATTCTCTAAAAGAATGACATACGAACTCATGAAACTCATTGAATCAAGTGCTCATTGTCCATAAACGATGATATGAATCTACTACACTAAAGTAAGTAAGTAACGTGAGTTTTAACATAATTAAAGGGTCCTAAAGTAAGTAAGTTACCAGAATGGGGTGTTAAAGGAAGTGAGACAAGTCTCACCTATACCTAAGCTACTATGTTAAAAGAATAGTCACGTATGAAGGTGTTAGAAGGTGTGAGCCAGTCTCATTAACAACAAAGGATGATATGTATGGAAAATTCACATTTCATCAATGTAAAGTAAGGAGGGCCAATCATCAATAGAGTAAGTAAATTTCAACCTAGAAGCAAGCCTCCATAATGCTTGAGTCAATACTAGAAGATAAAGAAGAAATGAACATTCACGTAAAGGGGTGAGTAATTATGAAAAGAAAATGTGTTAATGTTAATGAATGTGGTTAAAACATGATAATAGGCTAATGCAAAAGATGATACCAATCTCAAATGAGACTAAGTAAATGTTACCAAAACGTACTCACCTATGAGAGTGTAAAGATAATGAATAGACTAGTCTCTATATACACTCTAATGAAAGTATTGAGACTGATGTATACTTAATACTAATGATGAGATGAGAAATCATCTATTGAGCTATGATGTACTCATACTAGAAGCCAACTTCCATGACGTACGTGTTGAATGAAATGGAACTTTATACTGAGCACCGATAGGCTAGCTATGAGAAGTGATGCCTTCTTTCGGGAAAGGCGGAGGTTCACGTAACTCTCATGAGATAATACTTTCTTGCATGCCCGGGTATGGATCTCCTTATATATCCTAGTCATCGAACATATACTGCCAATATAGGGATCTAGCGGGGTTCAATTCCCATGCACGCTAGCGTGTTTTGGGTAACTTTGGCCGGTGATTCCACGTATTTTCGGTGTGGGGTAGACACTGGATTTCATGATACTCACATGATCTATGTCAGTTAAGGTTGGAGTTCCTCAATGTATGAAATATAATGAATTGAATGATACCAAAGGTTTTTGTGCAAGACAATCAGGAGGTGAAATCAGATTCAAGTAATGACATTAGATCATTCTTGTTCTAAAATTATGTAGATGATACTAATCTTTTGTAATCATATATATAATGAGTTGTGTGCATTGAATGCGTTAACATACATCATATTCATACCACAATTCACATCTAACGATTTAGGAAAGTCTAGTCACTACGCTATCCAGAAATCACATGTTATTTAAGAAGAGCTTTCTTTGATCATGCATAGCCTTATGTGTATGTGTGCATACAGAAGAGCTTTCTTTGATCATGCATAGCGTTGTGTGTATATGTGCATACACCCATACTTAGTACAAGTGGTGTACTAACCCCTACTATTTACTATTTTTATAGGTGCAGGTCAGAGGACAGGTTGACGACACTTGCAGCGGCTTGGACTTCAGTGTTTCTTCAAACCATTTGGTAGGTCCTCATGATTGAGGATGCTACAGATTTAGTCTAGCCTAAGTTTTAGACATAGCTAGTGGGTGTCGTCCCTAGCGTTTCTTTCGCACCTTCATTTTGAAGCTTTGTAATAAGGCCATGTTTGGCAAACTATTTATGATATATTCATCTTTAGTTTCAAATTGATTCTTTTTGTTAAAAGGTTGTTATCTTATGTTGAACTTAGTATATGATGTATCTAGTTAATAATTATATGAAGTCTATGTATACTTCATACGTATAAATTTTTTTAAATTTTCTGTAAATTTAACTAGATGAATGTGATGAATGGAAGATGAGGCTTGTCTGCGACCTCTGAGAGGTCGATCCGAATTCCAAAACCAAGATCTCTGAGCTGATAACTCTTGACTGGCAAATTTAGATAACTGCAGCTTAGAAAAGAGAAAATTACCCCAAGCTAACTGAAACCAAAGCTTCCACGCTACTTCAAGATGCTAATACCTTCTCAACTTCACAAACACTACACTCACATCTGTAGTGCTATTTTACAGGTAAGAGATCCAAATCAGCAAATACAACGAATGCTTATAAAACATAAGCCGAACTATAGAACATTATCAAACCACTGTATGACTATAATTGACTACTTCTTAGAACCTCCTTGATCTCATCCCTTCTCATGTTTGGTGGGTTCATTGGCTGGATAGCAAAATATCATTGTGCAACCAAAAATTTGCTCACGTTACACAAAAATTCCACTAGTCATAACACCTATGCACGCCATTTAAAGCTCATGGGCAGTTACACATAAAGAAAGCCAGAAAACATGGAAGAGAGACCCTCTACGTGATTTTGAATGAGCCAATCGCCTAACAACATGGAATATAGATAGAAACACCTACAAGGGAAAACGCAGAAACTTGTACTTATAGTGCTCCATAGGAGAAGTTGCAAGAAAAGATGATGTGATGCTAGTACCAGAGATGAGGTTTACTTTGTTACAACAAAATCAAAGATCATTGACATCCAACAAAACCATCATACTACCTCAGGCAAAACCCGAAAGAAATTGGCATAACCTAAACAGGAAGTTCTTGGATACCTCAGGAAACCAACAAAATTGAGAATTTACAGCTACATCAAACTTCAAAATAAATCTCCAAACTCAAGAACTTCCAAGCACAAGAGGCCAAGTATTCTGCAAGACATTCTTTTCTGAAACTGACAGATCTGCTCATTCTCCATACAATTATAGAGCAAAATCAGAACTTAAGAGTACAACTGCTCCAACAAATACAGACCTATCCAATTCTGTAAATACCCAATAAATCATCAACCATCTCTGGTCACCGAGGAAATGAACAGATAATAATGATAAAAACCACATAAGAATTATCTTTGACTCCTCCCTACTACCAGCTTCCAACACCTACAAACCATGGGGTAGAAACCTGCAATTGGGACAAAATTGAAACCCACTAGATCAGACAAGACAACTAGCAGAAGAAAAGTACCCGAGTTGCTTGACATCCCCATTATGACAAAGCAGGGATGTTTATAGAGTAATGGGATGAAACAGAACTTCTCCAGATATTAACCTTGAATCAGCTAAAGGAGTACATGGCTGGAATATCACTTTTATAAGATTATTACATGACTGGAATTGGAAAGAATCGTGGCCTTGTTCAAGATCTTGGAATCTTTCCAGGACTTCAAAGAATCTGAGGATAGGTTGTGCTAGAAATCTTAAAGTGATGGAGTCTACACTGTCAAATTTGTGCATACAACTACCAGATTAGACAAAATGCACAATTTGACCAGTGGTCATGGAAGTTCATTTGGAAGACTAAGGCCCCTTACAAAGTCTTATTTTTTTCTTGGTTTGTAGAAAGAGAAGCATGTCTCACTCAAGAAAACTTGAGAAGAAGGGGATTTCATCTATGCTCTTAATGTTGTATGTGTGGTGCAACTGGAGAAAACAATAGCCATTGGTTTCTACATTGTGTGGCGACTTTTTTTTAAATTGGAAGGACTAAGATGGTATATGCCAGCAACAAGCTGTGAATTATTTAAGTGTTGGAACTATAATGGTAGTGCAATGAGACAAAAAAAAGTGTTGGGAACTTATCCTAGCTTGTACAATTTGGGGGTGGAAGCGTAAAGAGAGAGTATTCAGAAAGAAGAGAGATGTAAGGATGAAGGTGTGTTTTATTTATGAGGAAAGCTCCTCTATTTATATACATAAATTACACCGTCATACTATTTACTTTACATAAGTGGCCGACAAACTTTTTACATGATTGGCCGACAAACTATTTACTTTACGACTTTTGTACATTTGGCTTTTTTCAGCCGACGCAAGACGACAAAAATAAAAAGACTCTCACTTTATACATATGGCTGATATTCAGCCAACAATAATAATAATAATAATTTTTTTTTTATCTTCTTTTTCTTAGTCTATTCC